AATCCCTTAGACCGTAACAGCTCTTGAAGAGCAATGAAAATTGGTTGCGATGTTGTAGTTCCCATACTTTCACTTTTGGTTACCTCTACTTTGTCCGTTCCGGAACTTTATCGTTCCTTACCGGAGACCTTATCGCTCCTCACTGGAGACCTTATCGCTCCTTACCGGAGACCTTATTGCCTCTTTACCGAGGTCCTTAACTTGGTCCCAACTTACCTGGGACTTACCAGTCGACTGCCCTGACTGCAGGAAGTTCTGAGCCGTTCACCCGGGGAGGTTCCCCATACGGGCCACCACTAGTCGCGCCTATCTCAACCAGCAAGAAGGACACGACCACGACTCTTCTTCAAGCAGTTTATTCAGGAACCTTGTACATCAGCTTCTACCTCTACCTCAGCTTCTCTCTCTGCTTCTATCTCTGCTTCTTCTATATCTCCCAGTACCCTGGCAAGCCCTTAAAAGCAAGCTCATTACTCAATTAGCTCACGCCACCTGGCGATCCCGGATAGGTCACAGCTGGAGGCGGCACACCAGATCCACTAAGCGCTTCCAAATAAGGCTTGTTTACAGCTAAGCTTGATCTCCCTGGCATCCATCCAGGCACCATCTTGGGGCTGTGGCTCCCCACATACATGGTCAGTTTCTGGAGATTCTCCAGCACAAATGGATCTAGAAAAGACATCCTGAACTTTTCTTGCCATAATAGCGGGGCCTACCCCTAGCAAGATCATGTGATAACAGAATAGACAATTGTCCTGGTGGAGGCAGGGGTTGGCCACTCCTTGACCTACAACTTCAAGCAAGAGAGAAAGACTGACTATACTTTACTCGGGGCAGTGGAAGCTTAGTCAGGGGTCTTATTTACGCATTTATTTACTTACTTATTTTTCTCTTTCTTTTTTTTAAAGACACCCTTCCAGAAGGCTTTCTTGTCCCACAGGCAGAGACTGTCCCTGAGCCCCTGATCGGCATCCCTGACCTCACTGCATGTTTTCTCCACAGATGCTGCTTCTCTTTGCTACATCTTCACTGTTGGCAAGTCAGGGTCTGGACCATGGTGGCACAAAGTCCAAGGCCAACTGAACGAAGAGACTTTTATTAACTGTGACAGTAACAACAACTGCCATGCCACTGGCCTTCTGGGGAATAGACTGATGGTCACAAAACTCTGGAAAACACAAGCTGAACCTCTGAAAGATGGAATTCACCTGTTGAAAGCAGAACTGATTGACATGACTAATAAAACCAGAGGCAAGTTTCAAATGGCCCCATAGGGCTGGGGATCTAGCTCAGTGGTAGAGTGCTTGCCTAGAATGCATGAGGCCCTAGGTTCAATCACCACTGCTACAAATTAAATAAAAGAACATATTAGATGACCCCCTGGAGGAAAGAACTGTATTCGCAGACATTTATTGTTTTTATGGATGAAAAAAATGACTGGTAGTCATACCTAAAAGGTCCAGCAGCAAGGCTAAAATGTAGAGGGTAGAGCAAGGTCAGAGGCTGGGAAGGGAGGGGGTAAGCAGACAGGATTCATGAAGGCTACAGCTGATCTCTTTCCAATAGGCACAGAGCCCCTCACTCTGCAGGCCAGGATGTGTTGTTGTTATGAAGATGGACATTTCGATGGATTCTGGAACATTGGCCTCAATGGACACAAAATATTGCACTTTGACTTAAGCACTGGAAAATTGACTAAAGGTGATTCTGAATCCAAATGGATTAATGAAATGTGGGAGAAAGACAGCGATGCAATGGGGGATGTTCTTCCGTATATATATTTCTCTTATTGGTTGATAAATACACACTGTTTGGCCAATAGCCAGAATAGCCAGGCAAGAAGATAGATGGGGCTATGAGAGGAAGGAGAATTCTGGGGAGAAGGCAGAGAGAAGCGGCCAAGATACACCACGTAGAGATTGGGAAGATAGGTGTGCCAGGTGTTCTCTGGTAAGATAAGACCATGTAGACATACATAAATTAGAAATTATGGGTTGAGCTAGCCAATAAGAAGCCCTAGCCATTAGCCAATAGTTTGATAATTAATATACCCTCTCTGTGTGTTTACTTGGGGCTGAAGCAGCTGAAGGCAGCAAGAAAAGATTGACCAGCAGCGATGTAACAGACTTCTTTTACATGACTTCACATGGGGACTGCAGGTCCTGGCTTAAGGAGTTCAAGTCACACTGGGAAGAAAAGCTGGAGCCTATAGGTAACTGGGAAGTAGGGGAGGAAGCTCTTTGCAAAGGAGGGTGTGTGCAGGCAGAAGTTACTGTCCTGACAGAAACTCCCAAATACCCAGCAGCTGCTTCCCAAATTTCCACAAAGAAGCTTATATTAATTATAAATGCTTGGGTGGTAGCTCAGACTTATCACTAACTAGCTCTTACTCTTAAATTAACCCATAATTTTTACCTATGTTTAGCCACATGGCTTGATACCTTTTCTCAGTACAGTATTGTCATCTTGCTCCTCTGCATCTGGCTGGCAACTCCTGACTCCACCCTTGTCCTTCTTATTACCTTAGTGTGGTCGCCCCATGTATACATCCTGCCTGGCTACTGTCCAATCAGCTTTTTATTAAATGACTTCCAGTCAAATCTTTACAGTATACATGTGGATTATTCTACAATGTGTGCTTGCATGTGTGCGTGCATGTGTGTGTGTGTGTGTGTGTGTGTGTGTGTGTGTGTGTGTGGTGTGATAATCCAATTACCATGAGTTCTTGGGTTGGTGGTCAATTTTTCCATCATTCATTTCATTTCTCTTTCTCCTATCTCATTAATTGTTCACTCACTGTGGTTCTTGACTGCTGTCACAGACAGAACATCCTTTTACTTCCTGTCCTTTTCCTCATCCTAGAATCACTGTTGCTTTTCATCTCGCTTGATCTTCCTTGTTCCGTGCCACCATTCTCACGGATCATCCATCCTCATGCCTCCTCTCCTGCCAGAGGGAAGACGATGGCCTACCAGGACCCTGCTTCAACTACCATAGCTGTATGGTTCTTTTGAGGTCAGAGGTCATCCCCCTCTCCCTTCCTAATCAGGACCAGCCCAAACAGTTGTTGCAGAGTGACAGGGGAGGAACTCTGTGTGTTGCTGAATTATCTGAGCACCCAGAAGCTAAGATAATATTACCTCAGATTTGAGGTCTGGTCAAAGACTCAACTTGTGTTTCCACTTCAGCCTCACCAAATGGTATGCCAGTTGTGAACCAGCTGCCTTTGTCCCTGGCCATCAAGCCCAACATCTCTGTCCTGCTCATATTCATCACCTGCTCCCTCCTGCTGCTTATGTGAGGAGAATCCTTGACAGTGAAGGTACTGAGGGCATTGTTGGGAGTGTGGTGAGAGACAGGTGGGTGAGGAGTGAGGAAGCAATTCCTATAGTCCTCTCTTGTTCCTAAACTGCAGCATTGTATTGAGAAAGGAGGCGTGAGATCTGGAGTTCATGTCACCTGCTAGCAATAGCTTGTACATGCTCTTCCTGGAATCAACAGGAATCATGTCACAGAGCAGTGGGGAATGAGGTGGGAACACAGCAGGTGCCTGATCAGACCACCTTCCAAAAACAGGAGGGTCCCATGATGCAGACATGGAGGCAGCAGGAACACTAAAGGAAATGGTGGTTCCTCTTAATGTGTAGGTGGAACACACAGATAAAGAAGATATAAATAGATGGTCCAGTGGCAAGACCACTTGCAGCTCTTGCATCAGTCCTGGGTTCTATTTCCAGCACCCACTTGGCAGCTCAAAACTTACAGCTCCAAGGCAAGAGCAACCAGCCCTTTCTTCTGCACAGACCCCAGGCATTTACACAGTGCACTTACAGAGTTGCAGGATCACACTCATACACATAAATAGAGAGGAATTGAGCAGCAACAGCTTCCAGAACTCCTGGAACAGTGTCCCCACTGGAGGCTAGTGGAACTGAGCTGCTGCAGGAGTCTACTGCTCCCATCTGGACTGACCAGATGGACAAGGGGGGGCAGGGACAGACACACAATTGTGATGCCACTCTTAGATGTTCAGAGTTTCAGAATGAAAGGTAAAGAAAGTCTGGAGCCCCACTCAAGGCCTAGATCACCTGGTCGGTGGGCCCTTTCTGGATAGAGGTCCTCCCTGCTTCTCCAGCCCCTCCAATCAGTCAGGAAGCAGAGCTAGTCATTACCACTTTATTCTGAACTTCTAGGTCTGCAGCACAGACCTAGGGGCTGACTCTGAGACATGGGAAAGGAGGAGGAAGACAGTAGAGGATCCAGGGATGGCGATCCGGGGTCGGGGGTGGGGTGGATGGAGTAGGGAACTGGATGACCCCCAGTGACAGTGGCTGTGGGGTGGTGATGACTAGGTACAAGGCACCCAGCAAAACTGACCCAGACTTTCCTCAGACCATTCAAAAGATGTGTTTCCCTGCTGCAGGCTGAAGATGCTCCAGAGAAGGCCGGGGGAGCTCATCTGGTGCCACCCATCTTCCTTTCCATCAGCCTCAACCAGATGAATCTTGATGCTGCCAACATAGTATTTCATGTTCTTTCACTCTGTGCTAGTCGTTTGGGTGTCTTAGCACCTTGTGCTGTTTCCTTGGTTCTCCCTGGTGGGATTTGCCCTGCATGAAACTACTTTAATTAGAGATCCGGGAAAGAACATGATCATGTACCCATAGAGAACAGTATAAACAGATCTCCGTAGTATGACTGTGAAGCTATTGCTACTATGCATATAAATGAAAATAATCAAATATCTCAGGTATCACTAAAGGAAACTTATAACAACTAGTCATAAAAAATGGAGATTGAGGGCCAGTTGTTTCACAGAAATCATTGGTAACTGTAACAGGGCCCCAGACCTCAGCACAGATGACTCCATGATGGAAGCTCCATTCAGGCTGTAAAACTCAGCACATACACAGCACCTTCTTCCAAAACTAAAACAAAGACCTAATCCATCCAAGTGCATGGTTAAGGCCAAGTCTCTGAATGTGCTAACCTTGCTTTTTAGCTTCTGTTGTTCTGCTTCTGGCTAACTATTCTTGTCAACTGAAATTTGTTCATCAACAACATGAGTTTTGTACTTAAATGCTCTGCCTGAGAAAGGCTTGGTGCTGCACTGGGATCCCTAACAGCCAGTGCAGTTGCTGACCAGCTAATAAAGAGTTTCTATTGACTTAAATTGATATCTGAGCAGTCTTCTATGGTGAGTGCCCCACAACATTGTTGGAAGTCCCATGGAGATCCCAGAGCAAGTCCTCAGCACATGGAATGTCTCAGAGCCCCTTGGAGCAGGGAAGAATGTGATGGCCAATGAGCTCCTAGGACTGTGGGTCTCAACCTCTTTGGGGGTTGAAATGCCCTTTCAAAGGGGTCACACACTAGATACCCTTCGAATTACAGTTATGAAGAAGTAACTAAAATAATTTTATGGTTGGGGGAACAGCACAATATGAGGAACTGTATTTTAGAATCACAGCATTAAGGAAGGTTGAGAAACACTGTCCTGAGGGGGGGGGTGTGCAACCTAAGTTCCAGGTCCCCAGGGCTCCCTTTGATCAGTTGCTGCCTTGTGCTTCAGAGGACTCTGATGTCTCCACCACAAAAGGACACAAATTAGAAAGTGGTCTGTTTTATTGAGTCTGGGATGAGTGTGGTTAAGGACCCTCCTTTTGGACAAGTCCAGTGTTAGGAACCTTGTGAGAAGTGTGTAATGGTTACCAGTGGTTGTCTCTCTGTCTCTCTCTGTCTCTCTGTCTCTGTCTCTGTCTCTCTCTCTCTCTCTCTCTCTCTCTAAATGTGTGTGTGTGTGTGTGTGTGTGTGTGTGTGTGTGTGTGTGTGTGTGTGTGTCCATTTCTGTAAGTTCTGTCTCTCCATTGAACAAGGCTTTCTCTGGTATGAGAACACCCTGGCTTAAGACCTGGGCCCCTCCAGTTGGGACCTCCAGAGAGAAACAAACAAACAACAGAACCAAACCCTCCACCTGTCCTACTCCCTGAGTGGGAGTAGCACATGCTTGGTTCATTGCTTGACTCATGCTCATGGTCAGGGTTGGTTTCTGTGTGGAGGTGAGGAGAGGCCAGGCTTCTTATGCACGGTCCTCTGCCATCTAAGTGGAATGCACACGGAGAGGAGAAATCGTTCTCCAGGTAAACTCACCCTGTACTCCATGCTTGTAAGCAGCCCAGGGGAAGGTAAAAGTTCTCCTGAGCTGACCCAGAAAGAAAAAGAAAGTTCCACTCCTTTCTCTCCATGATTTATGTCCTCTTTTCAACAAATGGTAAATTTGATTGGAAAACGCATTACCTGACATTCTCTGAAAAAAAAAAAAAAAAAAAAAAAAAAAAAAAAAAACAAAAAAAAAAAAAAAAGAAAAAAAAAAAAAGAAAAAAAAAAAAAGAAAAAAAAAAAAAGAAAAAAAAAAAAAGAAAAAAAAAAAAAGAAAAAAAAAAAAAGAAAAAAAAAAAAAGAAAAAAAAAAAAAGAAAAAAAAAAAAAGAAAAAAAAAAAAAGAAAAAAAAAAAAAGAAAAAAAAAAAAAGAAAAAAAAAAAAAGAAAAAAAAAAAAAAAAAAGAAAGAAAGAAAGAAAGAAAAAGAAAGAAAACCTCCCCAGGGCCTGGCAGGGGGAACCCTGCCAGATACTACAGCCTGGACAGAATGGATTTTCCCTTCTGACCAACACTGACCAAGGAGACTTTAAACAATTCTCAATACATAATTTTAGGAAGATTAAAGATAAAAGCTAAGATGATTTCATCACCCAGTTGATGCCATATATCAGAAAAAAATATGAACTTAAAAATAATTAAAAGTGTTAGGAGGTCCCAGTTGCTGGAGTTAGCTCAAAGGTGTTTGACAACAGAAAACTGATTGGGACAAGACCTTTTACACAAACTGAAACCACCATCACCTTCTCTGAGGATGACACAATTAATTTACAGCCAGCCAGCAAAATGTTGGTGTCTTGCCCTCTGTCAGGAGAATGTCTCCCAGGTGAAAGTTTTGCCTCCAATCAAAGATACAGTTGGACTATGGTTCACATTGACAAGAAAGGTTCTGAAAATGGGACACCTATATCATATGCCCTGCCCCCAAGGCTCAGGAACCATCGCAAAGAAGGAATGCCTGATTGAGTGTTTATAATAGTAAGTTTTTCTTTCTTTAAAGATTTATTATTATTTTATATGTATTCACCTTTAATGTTTATTTTATCATGTGTTTATGGGAGTTTTGCCTGCACATAAGTATAGGTACTATGTACATCATTGCTGGCAGAAGACTAGAGACATCTGATCCCTTAGAACTGGAGTTATAGACAGTTTGAATAACCATGTAGGTGCTGAGAATTGAACCCAAACCTCTGGGAAAGCAATGATCTTAAAACAATGAGCCATATCTCCAGTCCTTAAAATAATTTTTTTTTTTTACAAAGACACAGGTTGGGGTGTGGTAAGGATGGATCCCTAAGGAGTGACGGGAAAGTGTTGGCCATAAATATGATCCAAATACATATATGCAGGCATGACAATCTCAAAGAATAAAGACACTATGTTTAAAAAGTCTTGGTGAAATACAGAGACCCACAGCCAGATATTGTGCAGAGAGTGAGACACCTTGGAACACTCAGCACTAAACTGGATATCTCCAACAAATCCACCCTCTCAGAGTTCAGGGAACACTTTCTTTGAAAGAGGAGACAGAAAGAGTATAGGAGCCAGGCTGGATGGAGGACACCAAGACAACAAGGCCCTCTTTATCAGCATGAGCCAAGCTCATAGGAAACCCAGGGACTGAAGCAGCATGCACAGGGCTGCAGGGGTCAGCACCAGGTCACCCATGCTTATACCATGGTTTCAGATTTAGTGTTTTTATGGGATTCCTAGCCATGTGAACAAATTTATCTCTGACTCTTGTGCCCTCTCCTCAGCTCTTTTCCTTCTGTTTGTCTGTGTTGTCTTACTTTCATGTGATAGTTTTGGTTTTATCTTCTGATAGTCTCTTTGAATGAATGAATGAATGAGTGAATGAGTGTAAATCCAGCCAGTAGGATGTAGGTTAACAATGGGACCATTGTTTTTACCTGCTGGGACAGGGAAAACCTGTTTTCTACAGTGGATATTAATAGCACTTCAGGGCAGATGACGTGTTCAGGAGTAGCTGACCAACAAATAATGGATGAAATATGTGTGTGTGTGTGTGTGTGTGTGTGTGTGTGTGTGTGTGTGTGCTATTATTTAGTTACAGTTGGCTGTTTTGTCTTTTTGCATGATACTGTATTTGTTTTCTAGAGTTTTGGCATTTGTAGTCGTATTGGCATTTTGTTTTGTTTTGTTTTGTTTTGTTTTTTCAGAAAGAACGTTTGCAAGAGTAGGGAGAAGGGGAGGATCTGAACAAACCTGGGGAAGAGGAAAAATATGATCAAATTATATTTGAATTTAAAAGTGGTTTTAATAATAAAAAATTAAAATTACTTTAAATGCTAATTATGAACTAATAGAACATCATGTATTGCTTCTACTGCTTGAGAAAGAAAGGACTCTCCTATCCTCTCTTTCCAGGTCCCCATGAGTGCTACTCAAATGCTCTTCCCATCAGCCCTAGCCCCTCCTCCTCACCAGTGCCAGCCAATACCACTACCTAGAGGTTCTTTCATGGGCTTGTCATTTTGTGACAAACCAGCCTATGTTGTTGTGTGGCAGAAATGACAAAAATTTTTAAAATGTGTTGTTTAATTTCTATACTCTTGTTGATTTTTGTATTTTCTTCCTGTTGACTAATTTCTGACTTGGTACTGTATTGATAAAGTTAATATTAACTTTATTTAAGCATTGCATATTTCAGCAAGATCTATCCTGGGAAATATTCTAAATATACTTGGAAAATAATATCTGTTGTGTTTTTCTATACATAGTTTGGGGTCTAAATGGTCTATAGTAGAGGTCTAAACCCTGTTTCCTTACTGATGTCTGTTTGTTCTTTCCATTATTGAAAGTGAGGAAACGAGCCAAGCATGGGGGCACACATGTGCTTCCTAGTGCTTCCCAGCACTAGGAAGGCAGGGGCAGGTGGATCTCTGTGAGTTCAAGACCAGCCTTGAGCATCTCAAGAAACAAAACTAAATAAATAAAAATAATGAAAGCAAGGAGTTAAAATCTTAAACTTCCATGTTGCTGTGGAAGTTTTCCTTCAGTTATAAACACTTGCTTCATTCAGAAGCCCTGAAATTAAATAAATAGATACCCTTGACTGGCATGTTGCTGTGGAACATATCCTTTTGCCATTATGTAATGCCTTTATCTCTTGAGACCTCAATGTAAAAACATAAAGCAAATAATAAAACTGCAACATGAGAAAAGCACTTGGAAGGATATTTACCTTAAGATGATATACAAATGACCAATAAGCCAATGAAAACATTCACCAATATTTAGTACTAGAAATGTAACTTAAGATAACATTGAGATAGGCACGTCATATGTATTAGGGTGGCTACTACAAAATAAATGGTATTTCTCATGTACTGTGGTTGATTTTATTGTTGTTGTTGAGTAGGGTCCCATGATATAGCTCTGTCTAAACTGGAATTTTCTATGTAGACCAGGCTGTCAATCTTTTATCTTTCATGCCTTCAAAACTAGTAATACCTATGATGCTTACACATTGCCAAGTTCGACTGCCAGGATCAAGATGCCGCCTGGATCCAGTGATTCAGAATTCTCTGTGCTGCCTCTGGAGAAATACTTTCCTATTGTCCCTCAATCATGCTGATCTCTTATTAACCACAGATGATTCCACAGCCCTAGCCAGATCTGGCAATATCAATTCTTAGTCCAAATATCACACTAATATCCCTAACCCAATTCTTAATAAAGCCCTTGCCCCCGCCCCCAGAAACTTTTAGAACTGGTCTTCTATTATCCACATTAATGTCAGCATTCTTATTTTCCAAGGACCCATAAGAATGACCCATTAAACTCTGAGAGACTGTTCAGAAGTGTTTCTGGCTTTGAGGGCTTATATATGCTCAAGTCATATCCAGCGTTTCAGTTCATTTCCTGTTGCCTGCAAATCAAAATGTAGGATTCTCAACTCCAGCACCATGTCTGCCTGCATTCTGCATTCCTTCACACCATGACAATAACAGTCTAAATTTCTGAACTATAAGTGAGCCACCCCAATTAATTTT